TGGCAGCTTATACTCTACGCAACAGCATACCAAGCCTCGACAAATTCTTGCGTTCTTTATGTGTTGGCCATGACCACCTTTTTCTGTGTCATCTATCGTCGTACTCGATTGCATTTGCAAAGGTGAAGAGCATGGGGTCCCGGCGACGAACAGCTTATTCATGTTCATCCATATGGGTGCCCAGGAGTAAACCTGTTGTACCTAATCACACATCAATGACCATTAACCCAGTCACCCCGACATCAACTGATCCACCATACGCCCTCCGCCTCCGCACCCAGAGCGTCGCCCCTACTCCACCCACAAACAAACGGTGACTCAACCCCTAACACGTCAGCAGTCTGGCTGTTCTGTAGCTTAAACTGTATAGTGTAACTTTCTTACAACCTCTTTCTTTTGTATAATATCGCTCCCAATGCATACTCCCCTTGTGATCATATGTATGGAATGGATCCGACAAAGCAAGGGGAGACTGGAATGGCCATTTCTGGCTGGTTAGCCGTCATCAGTCAGTCGTACTCAATCTCAGGGGTCGGAGCCCCTGCGATTCGAACCCGGGACCTCTGGTCATTGAGTTTTCTACTCTACCACGGCACCACGGGCTCGTTACGTACTTTTATATAAACATTAGCAGGTACGCGTACACCAATCTCTTTGAGGACACACTCCTCCGTCCATGTTGCCATTAGAGCTCTCAATCGAGGCTCAACCGCGAGGCAGCTACGATGTAGGCAGAAGGACATTAACGAAAAAGACACGGGATACTAGACTAATAGTTCCTGACTCATTAGTCGTCATCAGCTAATGATACTCAAGTCCGCTGTTGCCGCTGAAATTCCTGCCACACCCGAGTTGTGAACTCACGATCTATCCGGTCAGGGCGAACGTCCTAACCATTGAGCTACGAGCTCACAGTCTTGACAGCATTAGATCGGGGATATACAGTAGCAGATACGCGTACACCGCTCTGTTCCATTTCATTGACACTCGGAAGCGTATTCCTCATTATATAGACAATGTAGTGTGTATGAGGTGTCTAAAAGCAATTGCAAAGACCGCTAGGGCTTAACGTCGTCGGCACGAATAAAAGCTAGTGAAAGCGCAAGGTGATGCAGGTTACTTATCAAATTGTAATCATCTAGACATGCGTTGGGACCTAAAAACTTTCCTAGGACTCTCTTTAAACGTTAACGGAAACTGTGAAGCGCGTTTTATTTTCATGTAAGTTATTTAAGCATGTTCATAAGATTGAATATTGTGCAACCTTATCTCAAGATATTAAAGACCCAACAGGATTCCGGCCTTTGAATGAGCTTTTTTTGATCCACTGCAAAAATTACACTCTGCAAAAATCGTAAATTAATTAGTGTGACATTTTCGCATTGATTTCCGATGACTGTATACATTTGACCATATTTTATGGAGGCTGCCACTAAAATACACATTCTTATATTGTGTTCGTATTCAATTATGCCCTTTCCTAATTGTATACCCGAAGAAAGGGGGAGATTGGTTTATAAAATATTTCTTAGGAAATGTTTCTGATCGTGAAATATTCAGTAATATAAGGTCCTATCCGTAAGCTTAGTAAGGTTTCCTATGATGTATACAACATTATTTGAAACTATTTGATATACTACAACCTTACTCAAGTAATCCTCTCGAAACCTAAAAAATACATTTCCGAATGTTCGTATAAAGTCATGAGGTATGACATCTACTGTATGCGTTTGCACCTATAGAGGATTCTTGCAAATTTTCACAAGAACATTGGAATTATGCATAATCGAAAAACGGATATTCTAACTTGCCTTAA